AAAATTTCCAAAAAAATTCAATTTTTCTTAGGCAGACGATTTTATTGCATATTCTTGCACAAAATACACCTAAAAGTGTAGAAAAAAATCGACAGCCAAATCCGAGTAGAGGAAGACCTCTATTACCACCAAAAAGTCATCCAGGTCCAAAAAAAAATTTCCAAAAAAATTCAATTTTTCTTAGGCAGACGATTTTATTGCATATTCTTGCACAAAATACACCTAAAAGTGTAGAAAAAAATCGACAGCCAAATCCGAGTAGAGGAAGACCTCTATTACCACCAAAAAGTCATCCAGGTCCAAAAAAAAATTTCCAAAAAAATTCAATTTTTCTTAGGCAGACGATTTTATTGCATATTCTTGCACAAAATACACCTAAAAGTGTAGAAAAAAATCGACAGCCAAATCCGAGTAGAGGAAGACCTCTATTACCACCAAAAAGTCATCCAGGTCCAAAAAAAAATTTCCAAAAAAATTCAATTTTTCTTAGGCAGACGATTTTATTGCATATTCTTGCACAAAATACACCTAAAAGTGTAGAAAAAAATCGACAGCCAAATCCGAGTAGAGGAAGACCTCTATTACCACCAAAAAGTCATCCAGGTCCAAAAAAAAATTTCCAAAAAAATTCAATTTTTCTTAGGCAGACGATTTTATTGCATATTCTTGCACAAAATACACCTAAAAGTGTAGAAAAAAATCGACAGCCAAATCCGAGTAGAGGAAGACCTCTATTACCACCAAAAAGTCATCCAGGTCCAAAAAAAAATTTCCAAAAAAATTCAATTTTTCTTAGGCAGACGATTTTATTGCATATTCTTGCACAAAATACACCTAAAAGTGTAGAAAAAAATCGACAGCCAAATCCGAGTAGAGGAAGACCTCTATTACCACCAAAAAGTCATCCAGGTCCAAAAAAAAATTTCCAAAAAAATTCAATTTTTCTTAGGCAGACGATTTTATTGCATATTCTTGCACAAAATACACCTAAAAGTGTAGAAAAAAATCGACAGCCAAATCCGAGTAGAGGAAGACCTCTATTACCACCAAAAAGTCATCCAGGTCCAAAAAAAAATTTCCAAAAAAATTCAATTTTTCTTAGGCAGACGATTTTATTGCATATTCTTGCACAAAATACACCTAAAAGTGTAGAAAAAAATCGACAGCCAAATCCGAGTAGAGGAAGACCTCTATTACCACCAAAAAGTCATCCAGGTCCAAAAAAAAATTTCCAAAAAAATTCAATTTTTCTTAGGCAGACGATTTTATTGCATATTCTTGCACAAAATACACCTAAAAGTGTAGAAAAAAATCGACAGCCAAATCCGAGTAGAGGAAGACCTCTATTACCACCAAAAAGTCATCCAGGTCCAAAAAAAAATTTCCAAAAAAATTCAATTTTTCTTAGGCAGACGATTTTATTGCATATTCTTGCACAAAATACACCTAAAAGTGTAGAAAAAAATCGACAGCCAAATCCGAGTAGAGGAAGACCTCTATTACCACCAAAAAGTCATCCAGGTCCAAAAAAAAATTTCCAAAAAAATTCAATTTTTCTTAGGCAGACGATTTTATTGCATATTCTTGCACAAAATACACCTAAAAGTGTAGAAAAAAATCGACAGCCAAATCCGAGTAGAGGAAGACCTCTATTACCACCAAAAAGTCATCCAGGTCCAAAAAAAAATTTCCAAAAAAATTCAATTTTTCTTAGGCAGACGATTTTATTGCATATTCTTGCACAAAATACACCTAAAAGTGTAGAAAAAAATCGACAGCCAAATCCGAGTAGAGGAAGACCTCTATTACCACCAAAAAGTCATCCAGGTCCAAAAAAAAATTTCCAAAAAAATTCAATTTTTCTTAGGCAGACGATTTTATTGCATATTCTTGCACAAAATACACCTAAAAGTGTAGAAAAAAATCGACAGCCAAATCCGAGTAGAGGAAGACCTCTATTACCACCAAAAAGTCATCCAGGTCCAAAAAAAAATTTCCAAAAAAATTCAATTTTTCTTAGGCAGACGATTTTATTGCATATTCTTGCACAAAATACACCTAAAAGTGTAGAAAAAAATCGACAGCCAAATCCGAGTAGAGGAAGACCTCTATTACCACCAAAAAGTCATCCAGGTCCAAAAAAAAATTTCCAAAAAAATTCAATTTTTCTTAGGCAGACGATTTTATTGCATATTCTTGCACAAAATACACCTAAAAGTGTAGAAAAAAATCGACAGCCAAATCCGAGTAGAGGAAGACCTCTATTACCACCAAAAAGTCATCCAGGTCCAAAAAAAAATTTCCAAAAAAATTCAATTTTTCTTAGGCAGACGATTTTATTGCATATTCTTGCACAAAATACACCTAAAAGTGTAGAAAAAAATCGACAGCCAAATCCGAGTAGAGGAAGACCTCTATTACCACCAAAAAGTCATCCAGGTCCAAAAAAAAATTTCCAAAAAAATTCAATTTTTCTTAGGCAGACGATTTTATTGCATATTCTTGCACAAAATACACCTAAAAGTGTAGAAAAAAATCGACAGCCAAATCCGAGTAGAGGAAGACCTCTATTACCACCAAAAAGTCATCCAGGTCCAAAAAAAAATTTCCAAAAAAATTCAATTTTTCTTAGGCAGACGATTTTATTGCATATTCTTGCACAAAATACACCTAAAAGTGTAGAAAAAAATCGACAGCCAAATCCGAGTAGAGGAAGACCTCTATTACCACCAAAAAGTCATCCAGGTCCAAAAAAAAATTTCCAAAAAAATTCAATTTTTCTTAGGCAGACGATTTTATTGCATATTCTTGCACAAAATACACCTAAAAGTGTAGAAAAAAATCGACAGCCAAATCCGAGTAGAGGAAGACCTCTATTACCACCAAAAAGTCATCCAGGTCCAAAAAAAAATTTCCAAAAAAATTCAATTTTTCTTAGGCAGACGATTTTATTGCATATTCTTGCACAAAATACACCTAAAAGTGTAGAAAAAAATCGACAGCCAAATCCGAGTAGAGGAAGACCTCTATTACCACCAAAAAGTCATCCAGGTCCAAAAAAAAATTTCCAAAAAAATTCAATTTTTCTTAGGCAGACGATTTTATTGCATATTCTTGCACAAAATACACCTAAAAGTGTAGAAAAAAATCGACAGCCAAATCCGAGTAGAGGAAGACCTCTATTACCACCAAAAAGTCATCCAGGTCCAAAAAAAAATTTCCAAAAAAATTCAATTTTTCTTAGGCAGACGATTTTATTGCATATTCTTGCACAAAATACACCTAAAAGTGTAGAAAAAAATCGACAGCCAAATCCGAGTAGAGGAAGACCTCTATTACCACCAAAAAGTCATCCAGGTCCAAAAAAAAATTTCCAAAAAAATTCAATTTTTCTTAGGCAGACGATTTTATTGCATATTCTTGCACAAAATACACCTAAAAGTGTAGAAAAAAATCGACAGCCAAATCCGAGTAGAGGAAGACCTCTATTACCACCAAAAAGTCATCCAGGTCCAAAAAAAAATTTCCAAAAAAATTCAATTTTTCTTAGGCAGACGATTTTATTGCATATTCTTGCACAAAATACACCTAAAAGTGTAGAAAAAAATCGACAGCCAAATCCGAGTAGAGGAAGACCTCTATTACCACCAAAAAGTCATCCAGGTCCAAAAAAAAATTTCCAAAAAAATTCAATTTTTCTTAGGCAGACGATTTTATTGCATATTCTTGCACAAAATACACCTAAAAGTGTAGAAAAAAATCGACAGCCAAATCCGAGTAGAGGAAGACCTCTATTACCACCAAAAAGTCATCCAGGTCCAAAAAAAAATTTCCAAAAAAATTCAATTTTTCTTAGGCAGACGATTTTATTGCATATTCTTGCACAAAATACACCTAAAAGTGTAGAAAAAAATCGACAGCCAAATCCGAGTAGAGGAAGACCTCTATTACCACCAAAAAGTCATCCAGGTCCAAAAAAAAATTTCCAAAAAAATTCAATTTTTCTTAGGCAGACGATTTTATTGCATATTCTTGCACAAAATACACCTAAAAGTGTAGAAAAAAATCGACAGCCAAATCCGAGTAGAGGAAGACCTCTATTACCACCAAAAAGTCATCCAGGTCC